GGGGGGGGGGGGGGGCTTTTAGGAGTCGGGGGACGATCTATGTATGCCGTTTGTGTACCCTCTCGTCTATGAAAAAACAGGACAGGGCAGGTCAGCTTTCCTTGTGGTATTGGTAGTGGTGGGTTGTCGTGGTTTCATTTCTTGTGTGGGTACGTGGGTACCCGATACAACGAGTGTAGATCGTTCTAATGTCAGGTGCCAAACGACCCTCGGCGTCGTTGATTGTGTTGTTCTGTTTTAAGTATCATATCTGCCCTCGTTGGTATGACAGCAGTCGTTTGTATGACAGCAGGCAACAAACGACGCGCAACACAAGTATGCATCTATCTGCATATGGTAAACCAGAGTGTAGTAAGAAGAACTGCGCACACTCTCACCAGTGGCGATTCAGCGTCAGGCACTTGTCTCTGTCTACGTTTGTGACGAGGTGGCTTACATCCAAGTTGCGAGCCACCGAAGTTGTTGACCTGTCTCTCCTAACACACGACTTTCGACTCATGCGTGTAGAAGACATGATCAATGCTTCGAATATATTGCAGCAGTAGAGCAGCTGCTTTAAAATAGGGGGTGCTGCCGCGCCGTTGCCGCCAGGCACAGTACATGACGTACGACATGAGGTGCGTGGCATCCACACCCTCGATAGTCTCGGGGGAGCCTGACAAGCACGATGTGACAGCTGGCCAATCCTCTGCTGCTGCACCATCCTCCACTCGCCACACGGGGCGAAGCGACCATCCTACATCCTACTCCGGTCTCCAAAAGCGGCCCCGAACAGGCCGCCATTTAAAAAAATGTTGCCTTTTGCAACACAGAGACCGGTCCAGTCGCGTGCTCGAACTTGGTCCTTTTTGGGGACCTCTCTCCCACTCGTCTCCGTCATTCCCACGCCCTCTTCCCTTCGGTTGGGATGGGAGTCAATTCGCTCTCCCGCTTGTCTAAAAGCGTGGCTTCGGTCAGGATTGATCTTGAAAACGGACAAGGAAAACATCATGTCATCGTCGACGGCGGGTTCCTAAATCACCGCATGTGTTTGAGGGGGGTAGCGACGGAAAATTTACTTCTCAACAGCGACGTCTCCCGTCAAGTAGGAGTGTGCCCGAGAGATGAAGCTCTTTGAAGACCGCAATTTCCTAGTGACGGTAGTGTTCGACGGTCGGCCGCCTCCGGCCAAGAGTGGGACATCTCAACACCGACGAGAGAGGAGGCAGAAGAGTGCACAACAGGCGCGTGCTCTACACGACGCCGGTGGCTGTCCCGTGGAGATCAACAAGTTGGCCAGCGCTGCTTGTGCTTTCGACGGTCGAGTTACCGCTGAGATCGCAACGCGCTTGAGAGCCCGTATCAGGGGGGAGGTAAACATCGCCCCAGGCGAAGCGGATCCACAGCTTGCAGTTTTCCAGGACATCCATCTCGCAACAGGGGCGAACGTGTACGTGTATGCCAATGACTCCGACTTCACAGTTCTTGGGGTACTGGATCTTTTGGTGGAAGTGGTAAAGAACGCGAGAGGAGAGCTTGTCGGACGATGCGTCCGGCAGAGGCTGCTCTTCCAACCCACCACATGGTCCTTCCTCCGGAGCGGGGATGTTCGTGGTCGGCTGCGCCAGCTGCACGGGATACACCAGCCAGTTGACGAGGGCTTCGACTACACGCCTCTACCGGAACCGACCGCCCGCCGCCGCCTTCTCTTGTTCGCCATTATCGTAGGCAAAGACTTCGCGAAATTCAAAAATGTCGGACCAGTTACTGCTGCAAGGCTAGCTTTCGTTGACACAGAAAGCGTGTCTGGGCGGCATCTTTGCTACCATTCGATGCGGTTGTGGGAGACCTGGCCTCAAGGCTGCTGGTGGAGTCCAGGGAGGAGGACACGCCTGCTGCGCGGCGTAAGTTTGAGATCCGACTGCGCGCCTGCCACACCATGTTTACACAGCCCGTGGTGTGGAACCCGCTGAGCGGCGAACTCCAACATTTGTCCGGCGCGTCGACCAGGGAGGAAATCACCCGCCATACAGGTCAGTGTTCCGCGTGTTTGTGTGCGTAAGAATGCTCCTCGTACCTAAGACCAGATTTTGGGTTGATGTTTCCCGACGTCACCCTACTTGTAGTCGGGCGCCAGCAGTGAGACCTTACACACAACTAAAAGGTGTCCTTTACACTGGAGTCTGCGTGCAGCCAGGAGGTCTGATGTACCTTCAAACATGCTTTCTACAAAGTAGATTTATATGTAAACCCACAAATGACCTCGGTCGGGCTTTGCTCGTCCCGTGATTACACGGCTCCCGCTGTACTGCATACCGCGTAACCCTGCTGTACTGATGTACAAGCAGATACATTTAGTGACGGCGTTGCATATACTATCGCCTGAATTCCCTTCACTCTTATGCTCGCATCCTGCACGTACAGGGACGTTGGAGCTATCCCCGCTGGCGTCCCGTGTGGCCCGGGGAGATATATGTCTGCTGACCGGGCGCGAATGGGACCCACCGCTGGGTACAGCACAAGGGAAGGGGCAGGCGGCAGGCGCGGATGCTGGCAGGCAGAAGAAAAAGGCAACACCCGAGACGGCTAGCAGTCGCCCCTCGAATGCTAGCAGCAGGGCGTCTCGCGCTCGAGGTCCTCAAGACACAAACAACTACCGCGAGCACGGCTTCAGCAGACTCCCGGGGGAGACTGAAGATTACACCAAGTGGACCGTGCCTAAGCTTCGCGAGTTTCTAAGCGTGAGTAAAAGATGGGTTTTTAGCGACATTTTTTATAGAGAGCTACTGTCAGTAGGTTACTAGTCGGGGAGGGTAGTTACAGTTATGGCTGTGACAGAATACTTGGTCCATAGACTATTACTACTTCAAACTATATTTTGGGTAAAGAGTGCATCCTGTGTTGTAAACTTGGCGCTTCGTCATATTTCAGACTGCCGTTACTGGCTTCCGGGTGCGCCTGTCGACCATCCAGCAGCAGGTTGAGCGATGTACGCACACACGCTTACAAAAGAGACCACACACCACGTTCCGCTTTGCACACAGCGCACTGCGGCTGCTGTTAATAAGGTTCGGGGCGGATATCCCGATTGGTTGAAGAAGTACTGTATTTGGAATGGCCCCAAAATGGTGCACCCCACAAGTGATCACAAGTTGTGCGATTTTGGACTGTAGTTAAATTGTTCGCGTACGGTGGGCCACCCTCAGAGCAGATTAAGTACACCATTCGCGCCGGATATGTGCAATTCAGCCCCCCTCGCAGTCTGTTTTCGGTAATGGTCACGTTGACCACAAGTCAGATATTGATGTGCGTCAACCTCTTCGTTAGAGCAGTCGTTCGAACACGGGATTATTGTGCGTAGGGTAACAACGAACCTAGAAGTTTTGGTCTCTTCGCGCTCTGTTCGAGGCAGCGGTGGGGTACGAGATGCACGCGGCAACTGCACGTGGAGATAGCAAATTGTAATCGAAGATGTACATTGTTCTTCGCCTAAGATAAGCGGGTGGGTTTCGGTGTGCGTCATCAACTAAGCATGAACGTATATGCGCCCCACACGCTTGGGATGCTCCTCTTGTCGTGTGCATTTCTCCCCTCAGGTTTTTAGGTGTCTCGACAACACCGGGACCAGTGGGTTGAACAAAGCACTCCTTGCTCAGATGGCTGGGGATGTCGTCAGGCTGATTAGGAGCTGCGGTGTGTTGGACACCAACTTGGCGTTTCGCCATCCCTTTCCGGACCTCAGCTCTTTTGAGGAAAAGGAGGCCAGGCTAATGCCGGATCTTCCTGCGACAGGGCTGCGCATAAAGGAGTGGTCCGCTATGCGGCGGTATCTCCCCGAGATATCGAAAGCCGTCATCTTACGGTTCATGCGAGAAGTGAACAAACTCGCCGGCAAGGGCTCGCGGCTCTGGTATAGATCGCTGCAGCGGGTGTTGGACATGGGGAACCTCAGCAGGTTTTGGACCGTTCAGGCAGCGGGGAGCATTATGTGGATTGGGACTAGGTGAGGCGCACAATATGCACCCCGCCTGGAAGGAGGATAGGCATATACTGCTTCGCGTTGCCGTCATATTGTTTCCGGTGTGTGTTCTAACGTTGTTATGTTGTGATGTTCGGATTACATAAAAAAGTATGCTTGATCTAGTCCCGACGTACGATTCGACGGTGACAGCGCAGCATATTGCCACCCGGGCCTGTGTGCATCATGCGCACACGTACTTTCCGTTGCATTCGTGCTTTTCTGCCTTGACCATGTTTACAACCGTGTAGATGTTCCCGTCGGAATAACGCTGATGCCAGCATCGTACACAAAACAAGTTACCCTCTACGATACTCGAGGGACAGACCCGGTCCCCCACGTGTTCTTGCCTTGTTTCCCCGCACGTCATGACGGTGCGGTACGCTGCATTTTGTTGACTTTGTTTTCGATCGCTGCCTGCTCCGTCAGCAACGTTGTAGTGGAGATTAAAACCTCGAAAATGAAAGACTGCGCCTAACAACCTTCCCATCCCGATGAAATAATCTCCAACTGATAACACACAGCGCGGGCGCCTCCTTCTCGGCCGACAAGGAGTACCGCGTCCGCATCAAACTACGAAGTGGATGAGAACGCACCCCCGACGGAGCAAGAGGAGAAGGAGGGGGAGGAAGAGGAGGAGGTCGTGGGCAATGACCCGCGGTCGGCGCAAACCCTGGTAGCCCTGGAGGTCATCGCGGCTCTCTGCGAATGTCTTGCAGGCATTATGGGGGGGTGCTCCCACGCCGCCATGGCGCTGTTTTTAGGTACACTGCTCCAGATGTTTGAAGAACAGCTAGCCACGTTCAATCCTACCACGTGTACGGGAATGGCATGCCGCTGGATAATGCAGCATGGCAAGGGTTCTCGATCGGCCAAACAGTGCGAGCTATACGGCATGAGTATGTCGGTAGGAACCACGGTCGTCCGGAGTGTTCGGGATCCGAAAGGGAATGTAGGATGGGACGACGTCAAACAAGTCCACGCGAGTGGGGTTCCACCCATAGATCGAATGAACCAGTTCAACCCGCATCTCTACCAGGGGAATGTGGGCCGCACGCAAAGTGCACTTCGATGCTGGCGAGGACATCAGCAAACTCAAGAGGGACAAATTAATGGCGTTCGTAAATCACGAGAGGCGATCGGACCACCAAGAGGTGTGCCTGGATTATCTACCGCCAAGAGTACGCGAAGAAAACAATTCTGCACACTCTGCGTAGCCACGTTGAAAAGTGCTTGCGTGTGCATTCGTGAAGTGATTCTGTGTGTGTGGCGGAGGAGGTCGTGGGTTGCTGTAATTGTCACGACCCAAGCTGGGGCGTGTTTCTCTCTTGCCCGGAGGAGACCTTGGTGGAGGAATGCGGTACAAGAGGAGGGAGGGGGGCGGAGGGGGGGGGGGGTGTCCTTTTGTTTTTATGGATTTAGGCTAATTTTGCACCTGGGCCTGCCTGGGGATACAACATTGTGATAGCAACTCGACGAGTATCGTCGCGTTGCCTGTCTGAAGCTTTCCAGTTTTTAAGCCGTTAATAAAGTCGAGGGCGCACACCGCGACACGCTCGCCCACCAAGCACGACAAAGAGTTCTATACACAGAGTAGATGACATAAGATATCACATCCCCTGAACAATTGTTAATTTTCAAAGCTCGATTACTCCAAAGCAGAAATCGTGGCCGGGCGGCGTTGGCACCGATACAGTAGCTTTCCGAAACAAACCTACCACCTATCGTTTGACATCCTCGTCGTCGTGGGCTAACATTATTAGCTGTGAATATTGATGATGCGTTGATGATGCGATATATTGTGTGACCTACTACTGCCGGTACATGCCATACATATAAGAACAACGAGCACCCTCCATACAAGTAAGTTACTGTAGTAGTTGAATTGAAACCTCTCATCATTACCCATCCATGAAGAAGTCGTTTTATACGCAAGTACTTATAAGCTGCAAAAACTATCCATAGACGAACCCGTAGGGGCCATGCGCATTGCTTGACGGAAAGAGGCGGCGCCCATTGCCTCACATGCAGCAGCCGGGTACACGGGTAGCCTCCTACTCAGCAAGACGCAAAACGATTGCCGTTGACGTTCGATATTATTGGGGACCCTAACGGCGAAAATGCAACAGAGAGAGAGAGGTAGACTAAAGGAAGAGAGACTCGAGAAGACAAGGCATGAACTCTCGTCGAGAAGACACTCACTCTCATCCCTCTGGTCCACCGCAGGCTTGAACACGTGTAACGAACGGCGGCATCCGATGTGCGCTCAGCAACAACAAACACGACAAAAGAAAAATAGTCCTCGTTTCCGAACTAACTGCTGTGGAGATACTGCAAGTTGGTGGAGACTTTCTTTATTTTCTGGTATGAAGTGGCAACAAAGAAGAACACGACTATCTGTCTGTGTAGACTAGAAGCAAGCATGACGGACGAACTATTATCTCAATGCGCTTGCCGTCGCGATAGATGTGCACCGCTACCGCTATACGAACGAGTAGACTGTTGTCAAACCTGACTACGATAACCGTACGACCATTGCAGCACATTCCGACCATGACAGCAGAAACCGCAGCTAGCAGCAGCCGCATGTGTACCATGGTCACTCAAGAACAAACGCAAACAAAAACAAAACGTGGCGCGCAGCACGCAGGACGCAGGACCCTCTTTCGCTGTTCAACCGGCCGTTTCCATGGCGAAACAGCCAAGGAACAGCCAAGGCCGACTCTTGCCGGCCACAGGAGGCGGAAGCCGCTCAAACTCGGGGACGGCTCATGACTTGCGATTCCACACCGAACCATACTCGAGGCGCCACGAGATTTGCGCTGTTGCTCGAGATAGCATTTTAAACCGGGTCGGGCAGGGGTGGGGCATGCGAATGAAACTTCCACGGATATTGAACGATGAGACTGAAGCGAAAGCTTCAAAATTCCCCAAGCCTTGGACGTGTCGGTGGGCATGGTACAATAGGATGTGGTGGTTTGTTGACAAGTGGAATGGACGGGGTGCGAGTAGAAAGTCCGGGGCCCAGTCATGAACATGGCAAGTAAACACCCCTCCCCAACTTGCCCTCCCAACAAAAAATAATGGTGGGCGGGTGGATGGGGGACCCCAACAAACAAAGCATGAAAAAAGAAAAAAGAAGGTCAAAGACAAGTGAGCCAGGCGCGACAGGCTTGAGGGAGGAGGCAAAAGAAGCATAGAAAACCCACCGTGGTCGTCGCTCGCTCTGGGCCGCTGGAACATGTCACATATAGCACTGCATGTCCAGCATTAGGAAGGACCCCAAGTCCATTGCTTGACATAAAACAGGTAGCGCACATCGCCTCTCATGCAGCCGCCCGGTGCACGGGTAGTTACTCAGCAAGATGCGAAACCACTGCGGTTGACGTAGTTCGATATTGTTGGGACCCCACCAGCGAACGGCGAGAGAGAGACAGGTAGACTAAAAGAAGAGAGCGGAGAGAAGACAAGGCACTCACTCTCGAGAAGACACTCACTCACTCTCGTCCCTTTGGCCCACCGCAGCCTGTCAGACATCTGTACCGAACGGCGGTATACGAAGTGGGCTCAGCAACAACAAACACAACAACCACAAGTCGCCGAGTTGGAACTAGATAGACAGACTAGAGTAGTGCGGACTTTCATCCTTCTGTGACGAAGTGAGAAAAAAAATCATGACTATACGGACGAACTAGTCCGTCCGCGATAGATGTGCACCGTTGCACAGAGCAGCAGACTGTTGGTTGTCATTCCTCACTTTCTCTTGTAAATAAGATTGTGCTGCCATCTACCTTATCGCTCAAGTTACGAGACTGACTACGCAGCAGACTCAAAAAGCCTCAACACCCTTATTCGATGTATACCACCCATGCATACGCCCCTTAGACTAATACGATGCATACCACCCATCCATGCATATGCAGCAAGAGAAAACAGGCCTGTTGTTGTCTGTCTCAACTGTTGTGCTGCTGTTGATTTTCATGTATAACGACACAACAGGCGACAAAGTAAGCGACGCGCATCGCCTACTACGCGACGCGTGCACCCCAAAGCGACAGACACGATAGCCTTGAACCTTGTCTGAAGCAATTCAGCAACAGCAGTATGGTCACTCAGGAAGCAAAAAAAAAATAAGGTTGTGGCGCGCAGCACGCAGGACCCTCTTTCGCTGTTCAACCGGCCGTTTCCATGGCGAAACAGACAAGGAACAGTCAACGCCGAGTCGTGTCGGCCACAGCAGGTGGAAGCTGCTGAAACTCGGGGAGGGGTAATGGTTTGCGATTGCCCACCGAACCATACTTCGGGCGCCACGAGATTTACACTGTAGCTCGAGATCGGCAATTGAGACGGGGTCGGGCAAGGGGTGGGCTCTGCGAATAAAAGTTCCACCCACCCACCCACCCACGGATATTGAAATATGAGACTGAAGCTTGTTATCCGCTACGAAGTATGTTTTGCTCTCGTCTTGAAACCCTTTGACACCGATTCTACGCTGTGATGCGAATACCCCGATGCGTAAAATACAACGTTACAAAAATCGACGACAGGTTGCACTCTTCAACCCCAATACCCCATTTTTCGCACTGTGTCGCACGGGGAGCCAGCAAGATGCATGGCACCGAAACACGGGGTCGGGTTGTGCCAAGCCCTAGGCAATACAGTTCGATGAGGTCGTCATCCTAGGCGTCTTTCCGTTTCCCGTGTTATTATTCGCACGCTCGCTGTTCGCCGCGTTACCTTACGTTCCACGAGGATAGAACTGACGCTGCGAGAGACTCATCTGGTTCCGTCCCCAAGGAATTTCCAGACGCGATAGTCTAACTCCAACTTAAGGATGTCCAACGTTCACGAGGGTTACCAAGCAAAGAGTATTCCGTCCGAGGCCTGGAAAAAACCGATGCAAGTCATGGGCCGGTATGCCGTTCACCCAACCCAACACTACGCCCGAAAACAGAACTCGTTTATTAGCAAAAAAGAAACAACTCTAAACTCCAACAGGAGATAAATGAAGAAATAAAAAGGGCTATTGTTATCGACCAATAAAACACGAAAAAAAAAACGAAACCGTGTTTTCTTGAACATATATGGAGGCGTTTTTCCCCGAAAGCGTGAAAAGAAGGAGTCGGGTTTTTTTGAGGCTTGCTCTTTTAACGTTTTCGTGTTTTTGACAGAAACATCGGACAAGCGCACCGCGGGCGCTGTAACATCACTGAGAACGCTAGAAAGACCTGCCAGACTCACGTCCAGGTCTGTTGTGGAGATGGACAAGCGGCAGAAGCGGCGTTAAGTCCGTTCTTGGTCCAAAACTAGACATTGCGTGGTGCTCTCGTCTTCAACTGCTGCTGTTGGTGCTGGGGAATTTTTTTCGATCACACATGCCAACACAGAAACAGTAGAACGAGTACAGCAGCACCACCATGACCTCCAAAGCGCTGATTCCTTCGGTTCGGCTGTCTATATGATACCATCTCCCGGCGCCGTGCTGCTTCGTGGGTATTGGGTGCTTGGGTGCTGCTCAATAAGGTGTGTGAGAGACGTGTGCCACCTCACCAAAATGCCGTTGGAAAAATTGCGGCGAGATGATCTGT